TCGGACTTTGGAGAACCCAAACAAGACCGCTAAGCTTATGCTTCTCGAGTTGGACGTGTCAACCTTGTTGCAGAGTTCGATCCTGGTTGAGTGAGGTCACCCTGTCCTATACTAACATGAAGCCCGAAAGAGGTTCCGGGCTGTGAGGTTGAAGACTGGTTGACGTGAAAGTGATGCTGGTGATTAGTGCCATGACTAGACGACCGGCCATCTTCCTCGTCAGCTTTAGGGCTTTATCTGCTTAGATTGCTTATCTCCGCGATGTGCATGATGCCAGCCGACTCACTTCAGAAGCCCAGGTCCTGCATGCACTTCACCCGGCTTGCGCCAACAGAATGCTGAAGGAGGGAACCGGGCTGCCACTGGGACCCTCTAGGTCAATGTGGGCATGCAAGAATTTCGGACTTCAGGCTGTTCAGATATGCACTGGCCTCCGTCTCTATCGCCAGCACACCAGTGATGTACTGTTCGAGCGCAGCCTGCGCACGGTGTCATTGCTTCAGCTCTAGTTTGCAGGGTCTCTTGTATATCTGGACATCTCGCGCCAATCTCTCTCGCTCTTATCCGGATCGCTGTTTGCGCGTGGAAGAAGGAGGCCTGCTGTCTGCCTTTTCGTTTGTGCGGTGCAAGACTTCCCTCCATGCGTTCCCAACAGTCTCCGAGAGGATGCTTTTTGGATTCGGAGTTTCAGGCTCAGGTTTTTCGAAGCCCAAACCCGGCTCTTGCTCCGCGGTTAACGGGCGGAGCCTTCTCACACCCCGAAAAAGCTCCTCATGCTCACTTTCCCTGGGTTTGGTCTTTAAGGGGACGAAAAACAACCTAATCGGCCCTACAAGCTTGCTTGCGTGCCCTGGGTTTGGGGGTCTAAAGCCGAAGGAACAAAATGATAAGCGACGGAGAGATGGAGAGACAGAAAGACATAGACACAGAAGTATATGGTCACGCGCTCCGCGGCCCCGCCCCCCCTCCCCCCCTCCACGGTCTATGGTCCAGGATGCCCGCCCTCCTGTGCATGGAGTGTGGGTTCCCTCTTCCCCCTGTGGGTGGTTGTGGGGGTTTTGGATCTAGCTTACGCTTGTGAGCTTTGGGTTTAGGGTTTACGGTTAAACGGTATAAGGCTTCGAGTCGACAAGGACTTAGGGAGGGTTTGGGGTGTAGGTTCGCTAGGGTTGATAGTTTATGCTCTGGTTTAGGCTTAGAGCCTGCATTTAGGCGGGGTTTAGGGTTGGTTGTAGGGTTTGAAGTTTAGCTTAAGGTTAATAAAAGCAGGAGCAAGCACTACTGCCCTACGTTATAGGATTCATGGCTTGCGTAGGGCTTGCGTACGATGCTGGCCTTGTCTGTGATGCCTCGCCCACCCAGTAGCAGACCATACCATTGGGTGGGGGGGGGGGCTGGGAACGCCAGACGCCTGACCATATATAACTGGAAAGAAATCGAGGGTGACACAAGGAAAGACAGAGAGAGAGAGAGAGACAAAAACGAGAGACAGAGCGAGACTAAGCGGGACGAGGGAAAGCAGAGGTGAGACAAAGAAGAGAAAGAGAAGCAGAGCGACAGACAGACAGAGTGACAGAGAGACAGAGAGACAAAGAGCCACAGAGACAGAGGGACAAAGAGACAGGGAGAGAGGAAGAAAAGGGAGAGGGCAGGCAAGCGGAGAAAAAAACAGGAAAAGGTCAGGGTACAGGAAGCGAAAACCAGGAAGGAAGGGCAGCGGAAAGGACTGGACGGGCAAGGAAGGGAAGGGAAAGAACATTGGAGGGGAGGGGGGGAGGGGAAATGCAGAAAGAAAGGACAAATCGTGAGCGTGAAGAGAGGCAGCCTGCCAAAAGCCGCCGAGCCGAGAGCCTCCGAAGGGCAGAAAGCCCGCGAGAGGAGCCGGCCCAGGAGTGAACAGGGAGCAAACAGCTCCAAAAAGACTAGAGAGTTTAAGAATTAAGAACAAAACGGACCGCTCGAAAGAGACCAGAGACTTTGTGAACAAGGAGCAAACCGCTCGAAGAGAGCCAGAGAATGTGAGAAAAAGAAGCAAACCGCTCAACACAAACTCGGGAATTTGAAAACAGACAACTCACTGCTCGAAAGAGACTAGAGAAAGAACAAGTAACAAGGAGCAAGCCGCTTAAGAGGGACTATGTACAGAACTCGAAGCAAGCCTCTCGACAGAGACTAGAGACTTTGAGAACAAGGGGCAAACCGCCCGAAAGAGACTAGAGCATGTGAGTAACCGCTCAAACAGGACGAGAGAATTTGAGAACAAGGGGCGAACCGCTAGAAAGATACTAGGGAGTCTGAAAACAGGCAGCGAACCGCTTGGAAAAGACTGTGGAATTTCAGAACAGGGAGCAAACCGCTGGAAAGAGACTAGGGAATCTGAGAACAACGAGCGAACCGCTCGAAAGAGACTAAAGACTTTCAGAACAAGAATTAAGCTGCTCAAAAGGAACAGAAAAAGGAGCAAACCGGAAATTGAGAGAAAGGAGCAAGCCACTCGAAAGCGACTAGATAAGATAATAACAAGGAGCAAACCGCTCGAAAACGACTCGAAAGCTTGACAACAAGGAGCAAACCGCCCAAGAAGGACAGGAAAACTCGAGAAAAGGAGCAAACCGCCCGAAAGAGACTAGAGAATTTGAGAACAAGGAACAAACCGTTCGACAAATCTCACAGAGTTTGAAACACGGAGCAACCCGCTCGAAAGGGACTAGAGAATTAGAGAAGACGGAGCAAACCGTTCGAAATGGACTAGAGAATTTGTGAACAAGGGGCAAGCGCCTTGAAAGGAACTCGACATTTTGAGAACAAGGAGCAAGCCGCTCAAAAGGCATAGAGGATTTGAGAAAAAGTGGCAAACCGCTCGAAAGAGTAGAAGAGGAGTTGCGAGAAAGGGGCAGACGGCTCGAAAGAGACTGGGAATTCCGCTTGAAAGAGGCTAGAGTTTTTGAAAAAAAGAAGCAAACCGTTCGAAAAGAGACCAGAGAATTAGAGGCAAAGAAGCAAACCGCTCGAAAACGACCAGAGAAAACGAAAGCGGAGCAAACCGCTCGAAAAAGAATATAGCAATCGAGAACAAGGAGCGAACCGCTGGAAAGAGACTAGATACTTTGACTCCAAGAAGCGAACCGTTCAAAAAGGACTTAGATAATTTGAGAACAAGTGGCAAACCAACTAGAATATGGCCGGAAACAGCAAACCGCTCGGAAATGTGTGAACGGGGAGCAAACCGACGACAAATTTTTGAGAACAAGGAGCGAACCGTTCGAAAACGACTTGGTAATTGCTCGAAAAAGACTAGAGACTCTAAGAATTAAGAACAAGGAGCAACCCGCTCGAAAGAGACTAGAGAACTTGAGAACAAGGAGCACACCGCTCGAAGAAGACTAGAGAAGTTCAGAACAAGGGACAAACCGCTCGAACGAGACTAGAGAATTTGAGAACAAGGAGCGCAACACTCGAACCAGACTAGAGACTTTGAGAACAAGGGGCAATCCGCCCCAAAGGAACAGACAAAGGAGCACACCGCTCGAAAGAGACTAGAGAAGTGGAGAACAAGGAGCAAACGGCTCGAAAGAGACCAGAGACTTTCAGAACACGGTGCCAGCCGCTCGAAAAGGACTGGACAATTTGAGAAGAAGTGGCACACCGCTCGAAAGAGTGACTAGTGACTAGAGTATTGAGAACGAAAATCAGGCCGCTCGAAAGAGACCCACCCGAAAGGGACGTAGAGAATTTCAGAACAAGGAGCACACCTCTTGAAAGAGACTAGAATGCCCCCGAAGGGCAGGAAGCCCGTGAAGGAGAGGGAGCCCATGAAGGGGCGAAAGCCCGCGAAGGGCAGGGAGCCGAGAGCAGGGAGCTCGCGAAACAGGAAGGCGGAAGGCCGTGAACGGAAGCCAGCCAAAGGCGGAAGCGCGAGCCCGGGTAAGGCGTGACAGTGATCGAACCCTGCATAGTTCTGCGAATTGGAGAAGGGCGCTGCTTGGAGGAAAGCAAGGAGCAGAAAGATACATAAGCGCAAAGACCCGGGCGAGTCCGGCACGTCTGGATGAAGCCTTGTCCAGAAGTGAAAACAAGCCTTGTGTGGCCTGTCAAAGTGTTTTCTGCCCCCGGAACCATTTGGAGCCCTTTGCAGGGCCCAATGAAACCCCATTGTAGCACGGAGGGTTCTTTAAGACCTTTAGGTGGCAAGGGGTACACGAGGCGACCTTCTAAACTGGTCGTTGGGTTACGAAGGCTCTTATCTCAACATGTCGGGCCCGAGGAATCTCGATCCGGGCTGCAGAGGGGCAACTGAAAGCCTTGTCCGCTGACGGGAAGGCTTTTTTTGATCATGGATACGTGGGGACGTGAAAGAAAAACCCGTGCGTGGGAGAGAAGGTTGTTTTTAGTTTTAGACCCTGCAGAGCAGAGGGCTTTGCTCGAGAAGCTGTTGAGCGCCGGGCCTACCCAGGGCTTGCGACAGCATCCAAAAGAACACTAGGGACCAACAACACCAGCCTGGCCCTGCAGTTGCGATTCTTGCAAGCCCCTTCAGGATCGTTGCATCCTTTGAACAGCCCTAGCTCACGACTCTCAGACCTATGAGCCTTATCCAGAAATCAGAAGGATGAGGAGGAGTTGCCTTCGGCACTGGGGCCTTGAGCCATAAAGCCATGTGCCCATATAACTCGGCAAATGCACGCTAAAAGCACACAAATATCAAGCATCCGAAGCCAAAGCCTGAGTTGTAGATCTGTTCCCCTGCCTAAATCCCAAAAACACCGAGGCATCACAAGTCTTGAAGTCGCGTCAGCGTGGGTCTACCTGATTATATGCCGGCAACAAGAACAAAGGCAGTGAACAGAGTAGCATCAGTAGCCTGTTGTTTTTCAACTGAGGCGGGTTAATCTGCATTGTTGATGCTTCGGGGGGCCGCCGAAACCGAAGAATACCGAAACGTGCAGAAAATCGTCCGTTTGAAATCCTTGTTGAAGTATCTCGAAATGCAGCCCTAAACCTCAAAGAGAGAAAACCGTGAACCCTGAACCGCGCAGCTCGAACCCATGTGCTGCCTGCCGTGCAGCGATGAATGTCGGATCATTGTTGCCGAAGAATCGCTTGGCCGGAAAATGAGGCCTTGCCGTGTTTGAGGATTTTGACTCGCGCGCTCGCACACAGGCAAACGCGGCTTCATGGGGTCGTTTGAGGATTGAGGGCCTGAAGTAGGTTTAGCGTCTATGATGTCCGCAGGAAAACTTTAGAAGGGGCATCTGTCTGGGCCGCTGTTGCACACGGGCAAATCAGAGTGCAGGGTGCTACATCTCTAGACACGAACTGCGGCGGGCACGAACCACATGGCAGCGACCTCATCGTCACATCCCAGGGCAGAAACCATAGCTTCATATGCAGCAACGAGTCCCCAAAACAACTCCATAAAAAGCACAAATCTGGTGGAGAGCTCAAGGAGGAGACAGATTCAGATTCGAACGGTCTCGTACCAGGCTACACTATACAACTCGGACCCCTTGCTGCGGTAAAGGGTCTTGTGCACTTCTTATGACCGGTAGCCGTGTGAAGTGATCTTATTCTCACCATGACCGTGATCGACTCTCCGGCGAAGGGTGTAGAATAGCGTCTACACCCTGCTGCAAGATACGGCCATGCGTGACCAAGTGTTGTCCAGGTGATCAGGTCCGTTCTACTCGACCTTCCAGCCTGTCACCGGGTGTTTAAGCATTGGAGAACCGGAGTGCGGCGGCCGTTGCAGAATTCTGGTAACATTTCTACTTCCATCGCTGTCTTGGAACACCGTAGGTTTAATGCTGGGCGTGCTGGGGACTAGAAAATGCCCCTGGAAACTCGAAAAAAGTGGCCCTCCAACAATGCCGCTGAAACCGACACCAACATGCACTCAAGTCACGCCCTCACCTTCACACTTTTCATTCCGGACTGCGCTCCGAATACAAAAACAAAGCACACTTGAACCACCCAACAACATGGCTATAGCAGTAATCCTGAACCTTTTAGCCCTGGAAAACACAACCCTGAGGCGGAAGCAGGGTCTCCCCGTAGCGGAGCTTCAGTTCGTCGTGCAGCTCGCGAAGGGCTCGATAGCGCCTCTTCGAGTATTACGGGCTGCAGGATGAGGGTCATCATCAGAATGGCATCGCTCCGGCATGCCGCAGTTCAGAGCGTTCCGGGATTCGGGCGAAATCTGTCGCTATCCTGACTCGACTTTAGGATTTTGGCCCTCGGCAACATGAGCGGTGCTTTTTGTTCTGTTTCAATCCTAAGGACGCAAAACCCCCTTCCGCACAGCCCTTCCGCCACTGCTTCCGCAGCCTTCCGCGCCTCGAAATGTTGGCACATGTTTGAATCACTGCATGTCGTCCCTTCCGGGTGCCCTTCCGCGGACCGTTTTGCAAGCGAACCCTTCCGCAAGAGCATAAACCCCACTTGACGTATCTCCCTAACATTCGGCACGCGCGGGCAACATGTATTATGAAACCGCCAACAGCTTGGTTCACAACTGGGCTTAGGGATTTCGGGATATTGTATGTCTTATCGACGGACGTATTCTTCTACCAGGCGGCTTACGTATTCAAACGCATTTGTTGCTTCCGCGCCCTTCCGCGGAGCAACGCCTTCCGCAGCCCTTCCGCGCGCACAGTCCCAGAGCGATTTTCAGATCGAGTGAAAGTTTTGTGTCCAGCTGCAGTCTTCCGTCAAGAAGCGGTGGACTAGTTGGGGTTCAATGCAAGAAACATACCTCCCCCAACAAGAAACCGGATTCTGGCAGGTTCAGCCCCGATTTCTGAATGCCAAGCCTTCCCGACGCCACGCACTAATTCGTCAACTCTACATCGGATGCTACTTCGCTTCCGCACCACTCAAGTTTCGGCTCTGAACCCGCAGCCCGGAGTGCGAGCACACAGCCAGACTTTGCAGTGAGGCCTTTGCAAAGTCCAGGAAGATCCATCCACGTGGGTCACCTGTTCGAGGTTTTGCCAGGCTTGGTGTTCTTTGGGCCCTCTGCGCGAACTGCCGCAGCTTTGGCACCATCTTGGCCCCTCCCTGAAAGTCCTCAGCGTCTCGGGTATCGGTACTTGCTGCATCTTGCTGCTACTTGCTCAAGACTTAGTAAGTAGGTTATATTAGAGTTAGGGGTACCATTATTGAACCCAGTCTCTATGCCATCATCAGCTTGGAATCTGCAGCTAAGTTAGGGGTACCATGTAGAAAGTATATAATATGTAAGTACAAATATATATGTATTGAGAATGCTACTTGTAACCCACTTCTTAAGTCCCTTGATCGTTTTTAAATATCTCTTGATGAAAGCAAAGAAAATTTGCAAGACCTGAAACAGCATGAGCGAGCTCTGTACTAGTGCACAAGCGATGCACCTCTGAAAGCGCGCCCTCAACTCGTAACAGCAGTTCTACTTGTTGGCAGTGCTGTTCTGGACGCAATGGCAATGGCAAACCCCTGGCCGTCAAGCCCCAAACTCAAAGTAAAATGTTCAGCGGCAAAGGGGGCCTGGATGATGTACGTCGTGTACCCTCCTTCGTTTTGAGCTGTGTTCCCGATGAATTTCACCTTTTCTCGAAGCACGCAGATACGAACAGAACTGTACAGCCTGGATGTGGGTTTACCTATAGTCTCCATTGTAGTTCCTTTTTTGGTTATCCAATTTTATGGTTAGGACCCTATAATAGAGATTTCGGTTAACCAAAAAAGGAACTACAATGGAGACTATAGGTAGCATCTGGAGACTTAAACTCTGGTTGTGACTGTTTTGGAAGCGTGGCGGGTTCAGGGCTTGTCGCAAAAAGGGGTCGTGGGATGTCGGCGAGATGTGCGGGAAGGACTGCTACAATGGTATTTCTTTGGATGTGCTGACGACATGCTTCGGGCATCAAGGCTATAAAGAGGGCCAGCGGCTTCATCCGGTTGAGTAATTATAGCTTGCGCGCAATTGCAACCGCGTGGATTTCGCCTTGGATTCGAGAAACGCGCGCAACGCGATCCCTGACCTGCGATCAGGAAGAGTTCGTCACAAGCTGACGGCGGAGTGTGGCAACAACCACTGCACTCACTCAGTATATCCTTCCTCATCAATGAGTCACACGGGTCGAAAGTCTTTTCAACGGCTTTCGCCATGGGTGGCAATGGTGACCTCACCTTTCGCGCCACCAAAGATTGTCTGGAATATTCCGTGCAAATCACAAGCTCATGGCTAAGTGTGTCAACAACCATTGCACTCCGTATATCCTTCCTGCTTAGCCATCAATCACCAATAAGTCATTCGCATCTAGACTCACTACACTGCGTTATCTACCAAATTCGAAGAAAGTCTGGGTGATAGCAGTGATAGCTGTGACTGCTACCATCGTCGCAGGATTCCTGCTGTCAGCCGAGGAGTCGTGCAGAGCGGTGTAGAAGCGGGGAAGTTTCGCATTGCAAGAGTATGCTGAACTGCAAGCGGCAGAATTTGAAGGATTATACTTCTACCCACTTCCAGAAAGCCTTGACCCACCTTTCCTCGTATGAGTGTCTGCCGCTGTGACGACTTCCAGGCCAATGCTTTGATCCTTCTTTGGCTTGTCTTGAGTTCTTAGTTCTTGTGTGCATGAAGTCCATGGTAGCTGAGCTGGCTCCCCGTGGAATGCCTTGCTAATGTCGCCTGAACCAGGAGCTCGTAGCCGCGCCAAAGGTGTAGACTGGCTATTTACGGTGACCTGTACGGCTGAAAGAACTTCAACGACCACTAGGCGAACTCAACAGGTTCCGCGATCAGCACCTGAACTGTCGCGACGCTTCTGCTACTAGAGCACATACACAGCTTATACTAAGCAAGCCCGAACGGCATGCTTGGCGCTAACCGCCAACCAGTGACCCACAAACCCTTGAGCTCCACACCATGCATGCAAAACAAGTAATCAAGCAGTACAGCCTAAAAACTATATCATCAAACCACCGAGCGAAAGGTATACCGGCAACCCCAAAATGCAACACACTCTCGGCTCTAGACCACGACCCTACCGCCCAAAACCCTCAAATTGCCAAACTCTCAGTGCAGGACATCAGACCCGAGCTCCCTAAACCCGGAAGAAACCCAAACCTTGAGCCCTGACGGTCCTAAACCCGGACAACCTGACCCGGCGGGCCTTATACTGCGGGAGCGTTGGCGCTTCGTTGCCTGAGCAAGCTCACTTAACTTGCTTTTGTGATTTCCACCTTGTTTGCCTGCACCATCAAGCCCCATAGAGCCGAAACCCCAAGCCTAAATCCTGGCAGTTCTTTCCGTACGTGCCCGAAACCCCAGACCCCCCATAGATTCAAAACGGGGCTAACCGGGTTCGTTTTTCTTTCAGGGCTCGGGAGCCACGTCCTGGAGCCTCGAACTGCGAGGGTGGAGCTTGGAGGTTAGTTTAGAGTGGAGTTCCGGGTGTCAGAACCGAGGTGGTTTGGGCTTTGCGGCATATAGTCTCTTAGTTTCTTGGGATGTGGGATGTAGATGTAGGCTTAGTGGTTTCTAGTTCAGAGTTTTGGAGTGCAGGGGGTTTAGTTTAGGAGATAGAGACGAGATTTGACGTCGTGACGGTGCTGAGGCGCAGGGCTTGAGGGTTTAGGTTTGGGACTTTGAAGTTCCCCGCTCAAGTGCTACCTTATGCATTCTGGTGTGGACTTATGGGTGTAACTAATAAACTATACACCAAACTGCCGACACATGTGCTGCCTGCTTTCTGGTTTGTACTTGTGAGTACAAGCCCGCATGGGACTTAAGATGCTCAGAGATGCTTTTCTCAAGGACAAGTTTGACGACCTGAGTGTACTCAAGAAACTGTGCAGCTCTATTGGCCGCGGTGGAGTGAAGCTTGAGAAGCAACTGCACAAGCCTTTCCCTGAAGGGAGCCTGGCCTAACCTCTGCATTCTCAAAGAAAATTATAACTGACCCGGCAGCTTTTGTGCGCGGGAGTCGCGACTGGCCTGGGATCTCAACATATGTCCGACCACCAACATCATCCAATATCTAAACAGCGCGCTGCCTAACCGTGCTTTAGCTCTTGAACATTTCACCTACATGTTAACCCGGGCTCATCAACTCAGAGCTCTGTGCCAGACTCTACTTTCGAAGAGACATGGCCAATGGAAGTGCGAGAAGGGCGGCCAATGGCACGCAAACTCGATGGCTTGCGCTGACGCTGATCCTGGCGGGACCACCGTAGCCATCGCAGTACTGGCAAGCGCTCCGGGTGGTGCAGGTGCAGACGCCACAGCTCACCAGGTTGGATGGACAGGAGCCGGAGGTGTGGGTGCTCGCCGGTGCTGCGCTGTTGCTGGACCCACTGCTGCCGATGCTCGCGGGGCCCCCGTTGCCGTCGCACCACTGGCAGGCCATGCGGTCGGTGCACTTGCAGACACCGCAGTCGACAGCCCCAGCCACACCGCAAGAGGCCAAGTGGCGGGGCTCGTTGCCACGCAGGGTGGAGTTGACCACTCCTAAAGCTGCGGGCTCTGCCGCCACGAGTCCCAAACCAGCCAAAGCCATGAGGAGAGCCATCATGATCTCTAGAAAAGTCAAGAACACTAAGAGCTCGGACTTGCAAAATCGGCTCGAGCCACCGGCATCCGTGCTTGTTCTTGGCAACTCGAGGTTTAGAGCCTTCTCTACCCGAGCTGGACTTCTGGGGCCGATCTTGTCGATACAATGAGAACCGTCGAGAGGGTTCAAGCAAGTTCAAGCCGTGGGGGAAATAGCAATCTATCGCACGCTCCAGCTGCAATTCTTGGACGCCCTGCCCTGTGCTCTCGTCACCAATATTCCACTGCTTCTCGGATCTATCGCGCGGATGCTGCTTTGAATTCATGCTGTGCGTTTAGGGGGCTACGACACCGGAAACGAATCACGGTGCCTACACGACACTGCTTGGAAGCAGATACATACCTACACCCATCCATGCAGGTATGCATGCATACATCACATACGTACATGTATGGACACAGAGACACACACACACACACACACGCGCATATGTGCAATGTACATGCTTCATTGTTTCCCTTGTGCATGCTCCCCTGATCTCCCCTGCATGGACGTCGGGCAAGGCCAAAGAAGTTTTGCTGATGGATTGCTTCATGGGCACTTGGCCCGAACTGTGCAGCTCTATTGGCCGCGGTGGATGTGAAGCTTGAGAAGCAAGTGCACAAGCCTTTCCCTGAAGGGAGCCTGGCCTAACCTCTGCATTCTCAAAGATCATTATAACTGACCCGGCAGCTTTTGTGCGCGGGAGTCGCGACTCGCCTGGGATCTCATTATATGTCCGACCACCAACATCATCCAATATCTAAACAGCGCGCTGCCTAACCGTGCTTTAGCTCTTGAACAATTCACCTACATGTTAGCCCGGGCTCATCAACTCAGAGCTCTGTGCCAGACTCTACTTTCGAAGAGACATGGCCAATGGAAGCGCGAGAAGGGCGGCCAAGGGCACGCAAACTCGATGGCTTGCGCTGACGCTGATCCTGGCGGGACCACCGTAGCCATCGCAGTACTGGCAAGCGCTCCGGGTGGTGCAGGTGCAGACGCCACAGCTCACCAGGTTGGATGGACAGGAGCCGGAGGTGTGGGTGCTCGCCGGTGCTGCGCTGTTGCTGGACCCACTGCTGCCGATGCTCGCGGGGCCCCCGTTGCCGTCGCACCACTGGCAGGCCATGCGGTCGGTGCACTTGCAGACACCGCAGTCGACAGCCCCAGCCACACCGCAAGAGGCCAAGTGGCGGGGCTCGTTGCCACGCAGGGTGGAGTTGACCACTCCTAAAGCTGCGGGCTCTGCCGCCACGAGTCCCAAACCAGCCAAAGCCATGAGGAGAGCCATCATGATCTCTAGAAAAGTCAAGAACACTAAGAGCTCGGACTTGCAAAATCGGCTCGAGCCACCGGCATCCGTGCTTGTTCTTGGCAACTCGAGGTTTAGAGCCTTCTCTACCCGAGCTGGACTTCTGGGGCCGATCTTGTCGATACAATGAGAACCGTCGAGAGGGTTCAAGCAAGTTCAAGCCGTGGGGGAAATAGCAATCTATCGCACGCTCCAGCTGGAATTCTTGGACGCCCTGCCCTGTGCTCTCGTCACCAATATTCCACTGCTTCTCGGATCTATCGCGCGGATGCTGCTTTGAATTCATGCTGTGCTTCTAGGGGACTGGAAAAGCGTCACGGTGCCTACGCGACACTGCTTGGAAGCAGGCAGAGCCCAAACGACTGTCGACATCACAGTAGGATTGGTAGCATTTCTGCTAGCAACCGCACACGTTCAGGGTTAGGCTTTGCAGGCATGCTCGGAAGGGCCTGGATCCGAAACCTTGAAATGGCAGCTCCAGCTTAGGATGGAAATTTGGTTGTGCACCTGAGACACCAACTGTTGGGTTGGGTAAATCGTCCCAGTTGAGGAGTTGGTGATTGATCCTTTCGCATCGGATATTTTGGGACTTCACACATACTGCTACTTAACCAACCTTGTTCTCCTAAGTCCTGTCCGAACAGCCAGAAAGCAGCAGCTGAGTCAACGGCTCATCGCTCGTAAAACGGACATTCCCAAGGCAGGCGTCCCTGCTTGCCATAAGCTTGAGCCCTCTCCTTGCGGTTTTCAACGGGCGTGTTCCTAGTGTATCGCCGCCTTCGGGCCCGAGTGGATGAGCTTCTGCATGCGGGCACTCGGCCACGATTCAAGAAGCTGACATGCACTTGCACCGCGTCCCGAGCATTGCAAGGAATACCCTCACCCATCTTCTGACATGGAACGCTGGGTCGACCAAGGTTCGGCGTGAGGCAAGCTGAGAGACGTTGGGAAGAATAGATTCTAAAGCCTGAGCCGTGCCTGAGGGGCCCCCTTGCCCAGCTCCTACACCCCGAAGCATCAATCCGCAACCGAAGCTCTTGAGCTCTTGCCCGCACCCTACACCAACCCTAGCCCACCTACGCGGTCCACGCCATTTTCCAGCTTTGAGTCGGCTTCGAAAGCTTCCGGTTTCGGAGCTCTTCGAGTCACCGCTAAGCTGCTAAGCGATCGGGGCCCGGGCCCTCATGTAAGCAAAAGTTCGTAGTTTGGATCTTTCTGCTTTCGCGCTAATCCCGACATTCCTTAACTTTTATCCAGAGCTCCAGCTCCAAGTTCGAGAAATCTCAAACAGCCGTGGTCACAGTCCTTTCGCAACGCACCGCCTCTCGATAATAGCCCGAAGCTCTCTGCGGTCAGCTCTGGGAATCCCTCAGTGCTCGCTGCAGCAGAGCCTGCAGTGAGGCTCAGGATTTGGCGAATCGGAGGCTCGGAGGTAATGCCTGACGGCCCGTGTGTTTGTGGGGCTTTGGTTTTGGGGGGCGTGTCTTGTTCGGCCTCGCTTCGGTGTCGGGATGACTCCAAAACATGTCTTTGCCCCATGCAGTATCAAAGCATACAGGACTTCCAAGGTAACCTGCGATTGTGCGCGAGGCTTGGGCGTCGGATTCCGGGACGCTGAGGTGTGATAACACCGACTCAGGCACGCACAACTCTTTTTGCTTCTACCTATCAGCATCGCCAGCTTGGTCGAAAGTGCTTGGTCGGTACGCCCGTCTAGAAAGCGGCATGTCAGGCATGCGAAAGGTCGGCTCGAAGTCGAAGGCATCCGCATACTTGGGGTCCATGGCCTGCCAGTGCAATACTCCTCCTGCTTGGCCTAGGCTTTTATGTGCTATGCTGCTATGTGCTGTAGCGATTCATTTCTCTGTGCCAGAGTCGCAGCGAATGCGCAATACTGCTTAGGTCAACCCCCACCCGAGCTCATGACAAAAACCCTCTACGGTTGACGGTCATTGTCTTTTGCACCGGTGACTTCTCGTTTCCACAGCTCTTAGCACTTACAGCTGCAGGACTCGCAATTCAAACTTGGGTGATGTTCGCTTTGTGATTGTGAGCTGCCCGTAAGCCGAGAGTCCTCCCCAAGCCGGAGGACCCCAATTACTCAAACCCTCAGTCCCAAGCTACGTTGCTTGCCGCTGAAGGGTATACTCCATCCTCAGAACTGACAGACATCCTACGAATCTGCAAAGCTCTACTGCTGTTACTGGTGTTCCGGCTCTTCCCATCGGCTCGTTAAATTTGTGCGGCTTGTTTGCACCATTACGAAGGGTTGACCTGTCCTGCTGCTCTGGTCATTGTCATATGCAGAACCGTAACACAACTAGGGTAGCAAGACTTCGATTGAAAGTTGCCGTCGTGATTCCGTGTTCCTCTTTCAAGTTTAAAGTGTCAGTAGGTAAATGCTGCTTCGTGAAAGAGCAGGGTCTGGTAATCTTGAACTCTGCATTTCTTGCCGCCCGAAAGCACAAGCTGTCTAGGCCCACCTTCGAGCTGGCCCCTCGCGGTCCCGGAAGCTTCCTCAGCTGCACTTTGCTCGTGCTTCACGGCTTCGGGTTTCAGGTTCTGACGGCCAATTATGCTTCTTGCTCTTGAGGAGACCCGGGAGCTCGAATAATTGTGGGAGCCCGCGTGTTTGAATCTCCCAGTCCACGCCAAACCCCACAGGCAGATAGTGCGCGTTGGCCGAATATGTGAGTTTCCGAAAATAGGGGACCCTAATATAGTACCCGAAATAGTAGGATCCTTATTATAAGGATCCCGATTTAGGGTACCCCCAATTTTCGGAAACTCCCATATGGCAAAGCTGCAGATACCACAACTTCCAGATGGAGAAGGGTCCGCAGCCTAAACCCACTTCCAAAACCGACCCCTTTACGTAGATGCCCCTCTTTGTCGGTATACGTAAGTATGGGCACCGCCTTGGAGCATCGGTTTGAGTCGTTTTGGCTTTTGTTTAGTGTTGCACCGGTCTGAAGCTTCAAAAGTCCGGGGCTTCGTTTGGTGATTGAAGCGGACGGCTCGAGCTTGCTTTTGGCCCGGCGGCTAGGGAGTGTGAGAGTGGGCTTAGGAGCTTCGGAGTTTCGCATTTTTGGAGGAAGCGGTTCCGCGGTGCCGGAGCTGCTCTGTCGCCCAAGTCTAAGGCCCCGAAATGCAGCAGAGCTCTCTTTGAGGAGTGGCCGCCCGCTTGATGGAAGACCTTTCTGTGCACCTGGGTCGGGGTTGCGGGATACCTCTGGGTCCTTTACAGGCTTGTTGCTAAAAGATCCTTTTTCGTCCCGAGGGGTTCAGATTTGAGAGTGGATACTTTGCTATGTTTTGAGGGGTTAAGGCTTTGGAAGTTTCCGGACTGAAGCTTTGGCCACTTATCTGGGGTATCGGGTAGCTGCGAATGATGTTCGGAACCGCCAATACGTAGGCTTATGCCTCATTTCTAGCCGGCCCGTTGACCTCTCTTGACTTCTTTCAGAACGTGGGGGCCTTTGTACGTCTACATACTCACAAGGTCACAAGGAGGAACCCAACATAAACTTTTCTTGGATTGGATGCTCCAATGTACAATTAGACATCCTACATTGACGGGTCCAGGGACGAAATTGTCAATGTCGACGGAGTCTAGGCTAGAACAAAGGTAGCCATTCTCTGGGTTTGCCCTTGGGGGTTTGTTTGCTGAACCGGAAATGAGATGCCACGTATCCGCTCTGTAGACAACTTCGCAGACAGAAGCCGTCAGTCTCAACTTCCTAGCCAAGCCCTGAACCCCGTGACTTTCGACGCAAAGCGCAAAAGCCTCCCCGTACGTCCTGCACCTCTAACCGAAAGGCTGTCCATGCTGTTGAGAAATGCGGAGAACAAGCTTCACAGCAGAGTTTAGATGTACCGCAAGGGGCATCACCAAAACCGAACCACTCCTTCTGAACTTCGCACAGTGCCACCAGGCCCCGCTACGTCGTTCCAGGAAGCATTAGGGATGAAAGTTCGTGTTTAGAACCTCCCCCCTAACGAGGGGCCAATTAAACCGTTGTAGCACGCCACTTTAGCAGGCACACATTCAGGCGATGGGCCCAACTAGAACCAGCCTTTGAAGGTTTTAGGGCCTTAGGCTCGATGTTTTCAACGAGTTGATCTCTCAAGTCAAAGGCAAACCGTTAAGGCGGGGAGACCCCTGGAACCTCCAAACCCAAACCTGCCTTGAAGCGTCAAGCATGTCCAACAACAAATTTGGAAGTCCTAAATCAAGAAGGTCCGCTTCATCACCAGTGCTTTTCAACTATACTAGTATCCGTAACTTTGAAGATGCGAACTCGTCAAGCTGCTCTTTGGCTCTGGGGCTCTCAGACAAAAGGAATACTTTGTCGCTCTGGTACAAGACAAGAGTACCAAACCATCGGCTCCAAAAAGGGCAACACCCTGCAATTTGTAAAGCCAGTGACAGGACGGAACGCAGTATGTTAACGCGCCCGGTCTGTATAATGCCTAAGCGGCCTTATCTTATTGCCTCAACCACGAGACTCTCAACCCCAAAAGCCCAAACACAAAAGCGCTTGGGGGTCATTATGCTCCAGATATATCAGAGAACTCTGACGACTAGTGTTACTAGATATAGACTGTGGTCCACAGACATGTATACGGATCACAACCCACCCCCAAAACCCCTTTTCCAACTGCTAAGCCGCATATGACCCGCCCTTCAAAGTTCGGAGGAGACACCTTTCTGTGTTGGCGGCTGTGAGCTGGAAGACGAGGATGCGCCCTGGTCTCTTCTGCTGTCTACGTGTAAAAAGGGTGGGGTTGCGACTCTCCCGACTCGCGCAAGGCAGGCAAGGCTGTACAATGACTGGGGCCACACTACGGGGTGTTCTGGATGCGGCTGAGTGCAGTGTTTCTGGTTTTTGCTTAAAAAACTTGACCGATTTAGCCGGTTTAGGGTGGCTTTTCTGGGGTTTGGGAGAAACAAACAGCTCAGGACTGTCATGGCCCTCCAGACTTTCTTGGCAGGTTAAAGCTTGGGCTTGGTTTTCGTTTCAGGGTGTAGGCTGAGGCTACGTCTCATGCAGTAACCAGCACAGTCAGATTGTAGATTGCAGTGGGCCTCAGCCATATTTGCTCGGATCGCACCAAGCCGTTGGAGTTTTGAGGTTGGACCCTTGAGCTTTCAGAGCTTCAGCCACTGAAGGTGAGAGGTATCTATGTTGCGGTTCATGCTCATTTTCAACCTACTCGGTCCCTCCTGCTTGCTTCCATTCAACACCAGGTTTTACGGCTCGGTTCATCCCCGACATCATACAGAACTAGGATCCATTTCGGAACACTCCTTTAAAGCTACATTAACTACATTACCGCTGTTTGCTGAAACTTCCAAAGTCTGAGATCCGCACTGACAGGCTGCCGGGTAAGAGGGTCCTCCTCTGACGAGGCTTTGGCGGATCATCCTGGGCTTCTTTGCCCTTGCCTCGGTCAGTATTTAAGTACCGCTTTCTGTATTTATCGTCTCTGTTCCTTGCGATTGTGAAGCAGCAGAGTTTGCGGTTGAGGGTCCAGGGCGGTTTTGAAAGTTTGATGCGGCTTACAGCTAAGGGCATGTGGGGTCCAGGCTGTGTTCTTCAGGGTTGCTTGCATCACGCTCTCATTACAGGAAGCCGCCAAAGATGCATTACACTACACCATACCCCGGAAGTGTAACAGCATGGGCCCGCCAGACTGCTACAACCTTCCAAAACCCTCAGACAAATACGTCACCCCAAGTGATGGCAGCGAACACCGACATATTTTTGTTGTATCATCAGCCCCGGAACAATGTTTGTCTCTGACCTCGTGTCTTCAGGCATCGGAGCAGGAGATCAACTGCTTGAAACATCGTGTTCAGCAAAAAGTAATCACAAACACACAAACTGTCAAGATCATCCGAGTCACCGAGGTGATCCTGCCATGCCTGGCTGACGGCCAGTGGTTGCCTCAAGTGCGGTAGGAAACGCAGAGTCTTCACTCGCAGCTGCAGGTATTCCATGCCAGGACTCCTAATGTGTAGAGGCTCTACTCATTGGCGGCTGTTTTGAAGGTGGCCAGCAAGAGAACCATCCCAAGCTCGCAGCTTCGTCCCCGGGAGCTGTTCCTTCGATCCTTCGGTCACTCGCCTGCCATGGTGATCAGGTTGCTTTGAGGCTTCTCCTTCGATTTGTGTCTTCTGCTTCCACTGCTTCTCTTCTCTGCCTTGTCTACCTTTACGACTCATGCCTTTGATGCCGTTCATGCCCGAAACCGAGTTTGACCCTGCCAGGTCGCATCACATCATCACAAGCATCGCCACCGTCGTTATCATTGTAGCACCTTCGTCGTCGTCATCTCCATGTCCATGGGTGTCATTGTCGCCAAATGGTGCCATCACCGTTAACGG